GCGGTCGCCGCTGCACCTCCGATTGCCACTCCTACAGAAGCTGACAGACCAAGTGCTTCTGTGGCCCGCCCTCGCCAGGTAGTAAGTTGCTCAGCCAGAGAACGTGTCCACTGTTCCCGTCGTAGACCATTTTCATACGAAGCGTACTGTTGTGTGACTCCGGCCATACATGTACCACAGAACGGGTACCCCTGGAAGTACTCGAGGTTGATACATTGTGGGTGGCCGAACACGCCGCACTGCGTGCACAGCGCAGGTTCGTACACTTGTACATGGCATCGTTGACAGCTCGCGTGTACACCAACCAATAATCCTTCATTCGGCGTTGGGCTCATAACCCTTGTCACTGCTACTAGGGGTAAATTTTCTGACATGACGATCGCAGTGGAACGAATAGAAGGATGAAAGGCGAGTACCTTTTCCAGTCAGTGTGCGCTCGGCTTGGCCTTGAGCCAGAGCGGTTGCAGTAGCAGCTGGCGCGCGCGTGCCAGACGTAGCTGGATTGCCAACCGGCGATAGACAATATGTTATTACATTGACTAAAAAAGGTAGCTGCGGACAGCACAAATGCATGCATCATCGATAGATCGGCGATGGCTTTGGCAATAAAGTCTACAAACAGTTCTGCTTGTGTGACACGCTATTCACATGGCTTGGGTCCTGGAGCCGATCGAAAGGAAGCCCTCCCGACAGGTCTCCGGACGTCTACACCCCGTGAAGGGGTCGAGAGCCCAGGGAAAGAAGAAACGACCCAAGCAGGGACGGGGTCGAGAGCTCCCGGGGCGTCGCGCCTCCAGCGCGCGTATGCCGAAACAGTTTATCAGAACTATAATACACACCATGCCTCAAGATGCTATGCACATGATTCTGCATTGCTAATCTGCTCACTGATCCGGGTGCGACGCGCATGACCACTCAGAAACGTGGGGTTCAAAGGATTCACGTGCGTTCAAATGATTCCGACATGCGCGCGCGAGGAGGCCCGCTTGGTCGCATTTGATGAACATATCGGGAAGCATGCGGTTTTTTTTGCAAGATTCGCAGAAGCGTGGGCGCAGACTGTTGTTCATAAGCCACGTTGCCAAACCATTGGTGTTTCATACGCTTTCGGAATCCTCGATCTCGAAATCCTCACGAAACCTACAACGTTTGAAAGATGTCGGCATGCGAGCGCGACGACGCGCGCGTATGGACTCTGTCACATATGTTGGAAATATGTATTGAAAATATGCTATATTTGGTAAACGCATGCGCGCACATAATATCATCCTTTAGGGTCGGGGTGGGCCGGCCGGCCCAGGATGGTATGCAACTCATACCAAGGACAGAACGATGGGGCAGAATCAGCGATCCAAGATCTCTTTCGACTACACGCAAGAATGACCCTGGGCAAGAGTGACCTTTGGTGCGCGGTTTTCTGGGGGTCCGCAAGGGGACTAAACACAAGCGCGCAAGACGCTATTACCGCATCGCGTTCGGCGATCGGGGGACCCCATTGTCGGGGATGGACAGACCCCCCTTTAGCAAAACGTGGTTTAGTGAAAACGGCCTGAGGCCCAAACCTGGCGGGCGCAAGCCTGGAAAATAACGGCCACGGCGCCTTCTCGAGAACCGAAAACGGACAATTCACTAATCGACGTGTCACTGTTGGGGGTTCTATCCGCCCCCGACATTGGGCCCGCACCAAAGGTCACTCCGGCGAAAGGTCACTCTTAGGTCTCGTCGGCTCTCTTAGAGAGGACAAATATTGCGTTGTGCACTCTAGGCGGCGACGGGGCGACGACGGGGCGGCACCGGGAGGGCCACGGGGCGGCGACGGGGCCGCGACGGCGGCAGCATAGAGCCGCCCCGGGCGGCGCACGGGCCCAGACGACGGGCGGCGGCGAGGCGGCGGCGGGGCGGCGACGGCGGCGACAGAGCCGCCCCGGGCGGCACACCAGCCCAGCTCCGTGGAAGACACTTGGAACCCCAGACAGCGCAAGCACCGTCCGGGGAGAAAGCCGAAGCCTCGAGAGTGCCTGCGAGCAGCCGCCCTCGGGAGGCTCACGCGAGGAACAGGCACGCGAAGGGCCGCGGAACCTGTCCCGAGGGAGCGCTGTTCGTATCGACCCTCGCTCCCGCAAACGATGAGCGCAAGTCGGCCCTAATTCAGACGCCGGCGGAAAGAAGACGACATCGGGATTTTCTTATGACTGGGGGAACTCGGAAAGCCTGCCGATCCGGAAGATGTGCCAGGCGCCGCGACAGGTTTCAAAGCGTTCCGGGACGCTCTGAGGGCGTTCCGGAACGCTCTTGAAGGATGTACGTTCTTCAGTTCTGCCCGTCGCGGAGACAAAAACGCGGACACGGTTCCTCGACGTCGGGATTCCGGGGACCGCTCTCGGGGCATGCGGCCGCCCAGAATGCTCCGCGACAAAAAAAGCTTCTCCTAGGGAATGCGTGTTGAGAGTTCTGAGGCCCACGTCGTGGAGCAGATTAACCGAGTTCGGAGGTCCAGAAGGGAGGCGAGAAAGGAGAGCGGAGGAGGGAGGAAGGAGAGAGGAGGGCGGAGCATCGAACGGACGAGCACCTAAAGAGGCCAATCCAACGAGTCAACAAGAGAGAACGGCGACCCATGGACTGGTAGATCTACCGCGAATCTCAAATAGAGCACGCCCGAGCGAAGCACTTAGCTGAAAGGTCCAATTGTATCCCAGAGGAGGAGGACGACGACGAAAAGGACGAAGACAAGGAGAATGAGGACGCGAAGAGGAGGGTCTCAGGGGGACTCTGAGACGGTATCGGCTAGCTTTCTCGGAATTTCTACATGGCTCGCGAAGGGGAGCGGGGAAAGAAGCGGTCATGGCCCGAGGCGTCTTCATGCCCGACCTGGAGGCCCCAGCGGCGCCCATGACACCAGGCGAGAACCAAAAGAGAACCCCGAGGCTCCGAAATGGCCTGTGGGCTGGGCGAGCACGCAGGGCCAGTAGTGGCACTTCTGTCAGCACCCACAAGAGAGAGAGAGAAAGAGAGAGAGAGAGAGAGAAAGAAAGAAAGCGAGAGAGAGGTAGTGATATAGATAGAGAGAGGGATCACAAAGAGAGAAAAAGAGAGAAAGAGAGAAGAGAGAGGGAGAGAGCGAGACAGACAGAGCGAGAAAGAAAGATTGAGAGCCAACTGAAAAAAAAAACACAGAGAGGGAGGCCAGGAGAGCAGGGGTAGGGAGGAGGAGGAGGAGAAGGAGGAGGAGCAGGATAAGGCCCCTTCTGGGGCCCCTATAGGGCCCGCAAGGTGCAACTCTCTCTCTCTCTCTCTTCCTCCCAATCTATCGCCCCAGTACGCAACGCCCGAGAATCGCGACACCGAATCGGACCGGGAACGAATCGGATCGCCAACATACCGTCCCGAATCGAATCGAGATCGCATCGCCGCGTCGTGCTACGGCTGGTCCCAGACGATGCTGGAGATCCGAGCCAAGTCGAATCGAGTCGAAATCGCGGGCCAGCGACCCTGGCAGGCGCCCTCCCCTCATGCGAGCCGAAGTCTCAGGGTCATGTGTTGCCGTCCCTCTCCGACCAAGCGCGGCGCCCACACGCCCCTGGGCTTGCCACCACGGTCCCCAGAACGAGAGAACATCCTGCGATGTACGATCCCCCTCGGAGCCACTCGACATTAGACTTATGTTGTTCCCATCCTTCTTAAGGACCGCATCCCGGAAATAATTTCGAGAACCTGGAAAAGTGTCAAAAGAGTGTCGAAAGAGTGTCGAAACAGTGTCGGGCGAGTGTCTCCCAGGGCCCGACACGTGAAAACCCTTGGGTGTCGGTACTTTTTTGGCCGCTCGAAGTTCTTCCTGTTGATCAAGGCTAAAGTAGCTTGGGGCATCATAACATCAGACAAAGAAGCATGCAGAAGACGCGCGGTAGGTGAAGTGGCTCTTGCTTGTGGGCATGCACTCACCGACAAGCTGCCGCAGATCGATCGAGGCCTACGTCCCACAGCGGGGAACAACGGTGCAGTTCACAGCGCGGCCCCCCCCCCAAGAAAATGCGGCGAGTGTGTGAGTGATGGAGCTCCTCCCCAGCCCAAAATCCGGCCTGACAACCGCTCAGTGTCATCAGTGTGGGGCGGGGCTCCCTCATCCAAAGGTTCCTCCCCGAGGAGTCCTGTTTTGTGACGTAGGCCTCCCCAGGGGTCTCGACCACTTCCCTGGGGGTGGCTCTTCATCCTGAGCCGTTTTTTGATGGCTCTGGGACCACGAGACGGTGCGAAAAGGCCCAAAACTGCAAAAACTGCCGTCACGATTTGAAATGCGACGCCTGGATCTCAGGGGTTAACATGGGCCTGATGACAGACGCAACCAAACCCAGCCATCCGACGATACGATTTGTTCAATGCCCGGGCCTGCAAAGGTATTGACCCCTTCCCAGGGGGCAGCCGAAATTGAAAAGAAACGCCGCGATCGAACAAATCAGTCCGAGACCCACACGTCCGATGCCTTGATTGTCCCACATAAGATCTCCGGAAATCCCTTTTCCCCAAGGCAGGCTATGAATCCACGGTCCTCGGACCCGCTGAGAGCCCCCAGAGGCCGAAAACGACGAGAGGCTTCCGTTTCTTCGAATTCCTCCACACAAATGATGACTGGGGAGAGGTCGGGGTTGACCCACGGGACCCGGCTGCAGACACAGCCAACGTGTGGCACTCCACCCTGCTGCCCGATGTCTGGCCTGTCCAACCAGAGGCCTCCTAGATGGGGTCGGAGCAGATGGGGTCGGAGGATCGCGCTGCATCTGCGATACATCTGCGATACATCGGCGAACCATCGGCGATGCATCGGCAAAGCATCAGCGAAGCATCGGCGACGTCGGCGATGCATCGGCGACGTCGGCGTGGGGAAACACGGTCTCCGCATCGCACCGCATCGGCGACGCATCGGCGATGCGGCGCGCTCCTCCGACCCCATCCACTCGGACCCCATCTGGGAGGCCTGGACCAGCGCCGGCCCGCCCCCAGGCCGCCTGTGCCGGGATCCAGGGCAGGCCCACCGCTGTACCAGTACCTGGGAGGGCTGGAGGACCCCAGGTCGGAGCGGAGCGGAGCGAACGCCGGAGTCGTGCGTGCTCCTCTGGGGAGCTCGCCTTGCGGGACAAGGAGCTCCGATCAGAGGTCGGTTGCAGCATCCTGGGGGATGCTGGAAGGGGTCCTGGGGGAGCCCTCGTGGCAGCGACTGGGTCCGCCTCGAAATGCTGGTCAAGACGCACCCTGGGAGATGTCTGGCGGTCGGTTCTGAGGGGGAGGGCCTAGGCAACCAACGCCTTGAAAAACAACAGGGAGGAGGCTTCAACAGGGGAGATGTCCACCCCTATGCCAGGTCTCGTGAGGTTTCCGAAAAACAGAAATTTGGAGCCCAACCTTGAGACATACGATGGGCCGCGCGGTGTATCCGAGAGTTCCCCCCTCCTCCTGAGCGGCCACACTTTTCGGGGATCGGGGAAGAAGAACCGCCCGCGTGGTTTGTCGCACTCTGTGGCCTCCGGGGCCGCTGCTGGGCCCAGGGACCGCCCATAAAACGATGCGACCCGGGACAACAAAGACACACCCCTGCCCTGGGAGGGAGTCGAGAATTACGGGGCCTGGGGGCTGAGAGCTCGGGACATTGGACATACGGGGACGGCGGGGACGAGGGCCCAAGAAGCAGGGAGGCTGCAGGGGATGGCGAGGGAAGGGTCGGGTGAGAGAGAGGGGCGACGGCGACGAGGCCCAACCAAATCCATCCTGAAGCGTGGATGGGGGGCAGAGGATCGGGAGCAGGAAGAGCAGTACAGTGGAGGCCAGTCCACAAGAGACTTTCCACAAGAAACCCAACCCTGAGACGCCAGGACGTCCATGGATTTTTGGTGTGGGAACGTCACGCTTTCCATCGCAAAACCATCGAAACCAAAGAAACCCAGGGCACCCTGAAGGCAAGCAGGGTGTTCCTTGGTATGGGCCTCTACTGTAGCCGCAGCGAAGGAAGCGAGAGCAGCCGTGGCCGCGGCGGACAGAGGAGGGAAAAGGGGCATCGCTCCTGCCCCTGCTGGCCCGTCCCATGGCCAGGGCGAGGACTGGGAAAGAGGAGCTGGGGGACGCGCTGGCCCGGGCCCTCGCTGACCCAGGCCCGCCAGGGCAGCATCGCCGACCTGGGCCGGCCACGAAGCAGCTCCCAGACTACTTGGGGTATCCGGGGAGCGGGCGCGCTCCGGGGTGTTCCGAGAGGACCCGGAGCCGCTCTGGGGCGCAGAATCGGAGGCACAGGCGGGGCATGAAACGGTGGCAGGAACAGAAAAGCTCTGAGGCCCGTGCGGGTTTCTCGCATCGGAAATTGAGCCCCCTGGCGGCGCCTCCAGCGCCGCCGCTTGCAGGTCCCCCGAAAGTAGTCACTGGGAGATCCTGGAAGCCCTGTGAAGCCACTATCACCGCCGTCGCCGTCGCCGTCGCCGTCGCGCCGCCGCCGCGGCCGAGGCTGTCAACATCCGGCCAGCATCGATCCCCAGACCCCGCTGCGCGTCCGGCCGTGGCGAAGAAAGTTTCCCGAAACGCACACAAACCTTCGAAACAACGACAACGACCACAATGACAACGAAGACGTCATCGTCGCCGTCACCACCGCCGCAGCCGCCGCAGCCGGCATCGCCGCCGCAGCCGGCATCGCCGCCGCTGCCGCCGCTGCCGCCGCCGCAGTCGCCGCCGCCTCCGAGAAAAGCGGGGAGCAGCGCAGCCGCAGAACCCTGAAATCCTGGCGTCGCATCTTGTCACATCTGGCGATTGCGCCCCGTTTCGGGCCCCAGGACCCTCGCGGATCGATCCAGCCCGAGTAAGGCCGCAGAAGATTGTGTCTAAGGCTCCAGTCGCGATTTCTAAGATGTCGCAGTGTGTTCGCGGCGTCGGATCTCAGGGAGGGTCGGTGAAACAAAGAGGCCAGCCCGAGCGGCCCCTGGCAATGGTCAGCCCAAAGGCATCTGGGACCCCCTTGGATGCGTCGTGGAGCTTTCTTGGAGCCATCTTGGAGCTTCTTGGATGCATCCTGGAAACACCGTGGCGTCGGATCTCAGGGGGGAGGAAAGGGGAGGGCGAGGGAGGAGGGAGGGAGGGAGGGAGGGAGGAGGAGGAGGAGGAGGAGGAGGAGGAGGAGGTGGAGGAGAAGGAGGGAGGAGGAGGAGAAGGAGGAGGAGAAAGAGAGAGAGGAGGAGGAGGAGGAGGAGGAGGAGGAGGAGGAGGAGGAGGAGGAGGAGGAGGAGGGAAGGAGGAGGAGGAGGAGAGAGGGAGGGAGGAGGAGGAGGAGGAGGAGAAGGGGGAGGCGCCAGGCGGCGCCGTCCGCGAAGGTCGGCGCCAGGAGCTGCCCGAGGTCGAAGTCCCCCTCGCCGCCCCGCGCCCGGGGGGGAGAGCGAGTGGGGGAGGGGGGGAGAGATGGGAGCCTGGGACGTCGGCCTGCCTCCGAGGAGGCGGGTCCAGGGGAGGGGGAGGGAGGGAGGGAGGGAGGGAGGGAGGGAGGGAGGGAGGGAGGGAGGGAGAGGGAGGGAGGGAGGGAGGGAGGGAGGGAGGAAGAGGGAGGGAGGGAGGGAGGGAGGGAGGGAGGAGGAGGAGGAGGAGGAGGAGGAGGAGGAGGAATGGAGGTCTGGACGTGCAACCGCCTGGACCTCGGTACAGCCTAAAGCATCCCTCCGGAGCGAAGCCGGATCGGCCAGAATCGGCAGACATCGGCTGGCACGTCGAATCGGCAGGAGTCGGATCGGGCGAACTCGATATCTGAATCACGAATCGGAATCTCCACGTCGAATCGGTTCGAATCGGCAGCCAGGAAATCGAATCGGATCGGGCCGGCAGACTCGGAATGACCCTTGCATGGGGCGGGGAGACGCACGTGGACCCTGCCACTGGGGCCTGCGGTGAACCTCCCTGTGGGCGGGGGAGACGCATGGGGACTCTTCCACTGGGGCCGTCGGTGGAGCTCCCGATGGGGGCACAAAACGTGTGCGGAGTGTGCCGAATTGGCGGACTGATGCGGAAAGCAGAGGAGGAGGAGGAGGAGGAGGAGGAGGAGGAGGAGGAGGAGGAGGAGGAGGAGTGGAAGGAGGGGGAGGAGGAGAGGAGCGACGCGGGGCGCCGCCTCTCCAAGACGAGGACCCAGCACCACAGGATGGTGAGGAAAAGCAGGGAGGGGGTCGAGACCTCCAGGGGGGCACGCTGCGAAAAAACACACCTCGTCGGACGTCTGGATGTGTAGCTGTCGAGAGCAGGAGCCGAGCACCGCTCGCAGCCAGCGTCGTCGGATGATCATGTGGCAGGAAATAATTACCACGGCCTCCACGAAATCACGACCACGTGGTCCCAGCACTTGCGTTGCTAGCCGTGCTTTCGCTGGGTCGTGCAATGGTGGTTGCAAGTGGCATCGCCCCGCGCCCATCGTTCTACAGGCTAATTCGCAAGTGGGCTGGCCCGTCACACCTCTGGTGTAGAATCGGGTGAACCCAAATCACCGACCCGAGCATGAGCATTGGCGGTGCGCGTAGCTTTTGGTACGAAGCCCGCCCACCACACCAAACCATTACAGTCGGGACTGATTGTTGGTGCTGCCGTCATTTCCCGACTTGCTTCCAAATGACTCCGTCGGGCACTGCGTGCTCTGCTCCGTCTGCCTCCTCGTGCTGCACCTTCCCCCAGGACCCGCTCTTCACCAGACGCGCCGAGGAGGGGGGTCGGCAAGAGGATCGGGGGGGCCGCATCACGGCCCCAGGCACGTGCGCGCAGAGGGGCGTACTGAGAGAAGAGGGGGGGGAGCAGGAAATCTGAGAGATCTCATGGCGCTGGCCATAATCCACACGCACACACACAGTCATCCCCCCCCTCTTGGACACCTCCGATGTCACTCCGAGCCGCTCTTTGAACGAGCAGGTCTCTGGGAGCGGCCCCCGAGAGGCCGAAGATGTCGAACGGCCTGTCGACACGCTCAGATCGATCCTGCCACCCGGATTTGAGGCTCCTCCTTCTCCTCCTTCTCCTCCTCCTCCTCCTCCTCTTCTCCTCCTCCTCGAACTCCTCCTCCTCCTCCTCCTCCGCCTCCTCCTCCTCCTCTTCTTCTTCTTCTTATTATTATTAGTATGATTAGTATAGTTAGTAGTCGTAGCATTAGTAGCATTACTCTTCTCATTAGTTTTAGTAATTATGTTGTTAGCGTTGTTCGTTTTAGTAGTATCAGTCTTAGTGTCTTTCTTAATCGTAGTATTTTTTCTCCTCCGAATTATATTTGTATTACTCATATGTATAATCCTCATCCTCCTCTTCTCCTCCTCCTCCTCCTACTCCTCCTCCATCTCCTCCTACAACTTACTATCATCCTCCTCCTTCTTCTCAGTATCCTTCTCCTTCTCTTCCTCAAACTCCTCCTCATCATCATCCCCCTCTCCTCATCCTCCTCCTCCTCCTCCTCCAACTCCTCCCACTCCAATGTATCCTCCTCCTCCTCCTCATCATCATCCTCCTACTCCTCCAACTCCTCATCATCCTCATTGTCAGCATCATCCGCAGCTTCATCACCGTCAGCAGCATCATCATCAACATCATCAACATCATCATCCGCAGCAGCAGCATCATCATCAGCATCATCATCAGCAGCAGCATCACCATCATCACCACCATCAGCATCATGATCAGCATCATCGTAATCATCAGCACCAGCAGGTTCATCATCATCAGCAGCAGCAGCATCATGAACAGCGTCCGCATCCTCAGCAGCATCAGCATCAGCATCCTCATCATCATCATCATCAGCATCATCAGCAGCATCACCATCAGCGGCATCATCAGCATCAGCATCATCAGCATAATCATCAGCAGCAGCATCATCAGCATCAGCCTCAGCATCATCAGCATGATCGTCACCACCATGATCATCATCAGCAGCAGCATCATCAGCCTCAGCGTCATCAGCATCAGCATCCTCATAATCATAAGCATGTTCATCAGCATCATCATCATCAGCATCAGCATCGGCATCATCATCGGCATACTCGTCATCAGCATCATCATCAGCAGCAGCAGGAGCATCAGCATCAGCATCAGTATCAGCATCAGCATCAACATCAACAGCATCATCATCATCATCCTCATCATCATCAGCAGCAGCATCATCATCATCCTTCTCCTCCTCTACCTCCGACTTGCTAACTACTCCTACCGACCTCCTCCCTCCTCCCTCCTCCCTCTCCCCCTCCCCCTCGTTCTCCGAGCCCAGCCGACCCTCCCCCAGGGGCGCCCTTCTAGGGAAGGAGGAGGGCGAGGAGGACGAGAGGGGGGGAGGGGGGGAGGTGGATAAGGAGGAGGAGGCGGAAGAGGAGGCGGAGAAAGAGAGGGAGGAGGACTGTCGCACGGCTTCGGGAAGGGTTCGACTTCGTACTATGGCGACTCGAGCGCTTGAATGGCAGCACCTGGGCTTGCTTGCCTGATTGAGATCGGAGCTTGGAGGAGGAGGAGGAGCAGGAGGAGGAATAGGAAGAGGAGGAGGAGCAGGCGGAGGAGAGAGGGGAAGGAGACGGAGGCGGAGGAGGGGACGGAGGCGGAGGAGGGGAAGCGGGAGGGGAAGGGTGAGGGGAAGGGGGGGTCGGATGAGGAGAAGAACATCACAGCAGGCGGAGAGAGAGAGAGAGGACCCGATCGACCCCTCTGTGGGGAGACAAAAGAAACTCATGCTGCAACACCTGGACCTCTCCTTGAGCTCGTTCTGACCAACATTTCGTGGAGAATCCGGCCGCAGCGACGAGGGCACCACAGGAGGCCACACAAGGCGAAAGCAGGGAAGGGAAATTAGCGGTATCGATATCGGCACCCTTTCCTCCTCTGAGCCTCCCCCCCACAGATCATTGGATAGCCGATGTTTTCGGTCGCGATCGGTACCGACCTGTTGGCACTCTTAATCGATCGCGACCGATCGCGACCGAATCCAAAGTGGTCGCGACCGACACCAGAATGTAAAGCAAAATCGGAAACGACCGATCTCGTCGGTCGCGACTAGAAAAAGTGGGCATCCAATGATCAGGGCCCCCAGCGCCCCTCTTCTGTGGCAGCTCATGGGAGCCTCCCATGCCATCTTGAATCGACGCTAACCGAAGCTAATCGACGCAAGTCGACGCAGTCGACGCTGAATAGACGCCAAATCGGCGCTAATCGACGCCAAAGCGGCGCTTCTTCATCGACTACCAGACGCTAGCGCACGCTGATGCACTCCACTGAGGGGCAGCGATAAGGGGGAAACAGCACAGGGCGGGGAACATCGATCTGGAATGGGCGATACCTCGCCGACAGACCGGCGAAGGCCCCCGAGAGTCACTCCGCACGTTCCTGGGCGGGGGGGGGGCCATCGGGCGCCTGTCGGCGATCAGTGGGCGATTGGGGGTCGATGCATCCCCCCCTTTCCCTGGTCCCCCCCCTGTCGTTGCCCCCGATCGACAGAGGGAATAACGAGGACACGCGAGGCTTCCGTGATTTGCTACCGGACGCCCCTCCAGCTGCGTGTAGCCGTTCCCGTGGCGCACGGCCTGGCCGCGCCCCGGGGCGGCGGGCACCCGCGCGGGGAGCACGCGGCGGGACAGACGAGCCCAGGGAGGGACCGTGCTGCTGCCACCGGCGACGCGAAGGCCCCGACCCAGAGGTGCAACGCGCTGGCAAAAATCAGGGCGGAGACGTTGCACAGTCTTCGGCGTCGGGGGGGGCCTTCTGGGGCCCCGGGACCGTCAGAAAACGACTCGGGGTGCAGAACCAGTCCCGGGGAAAGGGTCGGCACTGCAAGGGACCCCGTACTGAAAAATCGATGCCTCGCACGTCTGGGGAGGTCCTGGCGTCGCAAAATTCGTTCACACCCGGCGAGATCGCCCCGTTTCGGACCCCGGGACTCTGGCGAACCGATCTGGCTCGAAAAGATGCAAGGGGAAGATCGGGTCTAGAGCCTAGGGCTCCAGTCGTGATTTCCTACGATGCTGCACCTTGTTTCGTGAAGTCGGATCCCAGGGAGCACCCAAATATGCGATGTCCTGACTTTGTTCAATACGCGGTCCCTGGGAGTCCCGACGCTCTCCCTGGTCCCGGTTTTGCAGCCCGAGTCGTTGTTTGACGGCCCCTGGGCCCAGCGAGGGCCCCCAAAGGCCGAACATAGGGAGACTACACAACAAAACAAGCAACTAAAAAGCAACAAAAAACATAAACAACAACAAAAAACAACAAAAAGCAAGACTACGCAACAAAACAAGCCCGCCCTGATTTGTTCAATACGCGAGCGTCTGGGTACGAAGCGTCGGGCAGCAGCAGCCTGGGCGCGGCGGAGCTAAACTGCGCAACAGACCTGCAGGGAAAGGACCGGACAAAGGCGATGGGCCGTGATAGCGTGTCCTCCACCATGAAAGGCACAGCCTGGCTGCTGGGATGAGACATGCTACCTACGGGGCGAAGCCCCACTTTGGCACCAGAAGAGCCTGGGTGGGGAGGGCGATCAGGCACAACCACAGAAGGACCTTAAGGAACATCGAGCCCCTTCCGAACCCAAACTGTTCCGTACGTCAGCGTCTTGGCTGCACGCCACTTCATGTCGGTCAAGCCTTCGGGGAAAGACGGCGGGCGGCCGCGGAGGGAGGGCGGAGGCAGACCCATAGGATCGCAAGACCACACAAGCACAGCATTTCGGAGGTCCACGCGGACGCCTCGGATCGGCGCCAGCCCACTCCTCAGCGGCACCTCTGGCGCAGTCCCCAGCGTGGCCTCCAGCGCCAGGCATGGGGCATGGGGGCCCAGCGGCGGCCAAAGTTATGCGAATGCCGATGTTCGTTGCTCTACAACCTCCGCCTCCTCCTCCTCCTCCTCCTCCTCCTCCTCCTGCCCCTCCTGCCCCTCCTCCTACTCTTCCTCTTCCTCCTCCTCCTCCTCCTCCTCCTCATCCTCATCCTCATCCTCATCCTCATCCTCCTCTTCATCCTCCTCATCATCATCGTCACCATCAGCAGCAGCATTATTATCATCATCAGCAGCATCACAATAATCCTCCTCCTCATCCTCATCCTCAGCATCATCAACGTCATCACCATGAACAGCTTAGCATCATCATCATCATCATCATCATCATCAGCATCATCACCACCATCATCATAATCATCATCATCATCATCATCATCATCATCATCAGCAGCATCGTCATCATCATCGTCATCAGCAGCATCATCATCATCAGCAGCATCATCATCATCAGCATCAGCATCAGCATCAGCATCATCATCATCATCATCATCATCATCATCATCATCATTATCAGCATCAGCATCATCATCAGCATCATCATCAGCATCATCATCCTCATCATCATCAGCATCATCAGCATCATCATCATCATCGTCATCATCAGCATCGTCATCATCATCATCAGCAGCAGCATCCATCCTCATAATCATCACCCTCATCATCAGCCTCATCCTCCTCATCATCATCTCCATCTTCATCCTCAGCATCACCAGCATTAACATCAGCAGCAACATCATCATCAGCATCATCTTCACAGTCGTCATCTTGATCAGCAGCATCATCGCCATCGTCATCAACATCGTCGTCGTCATCGTCGTCATCGCGATCGTCATCGTCATCGTCATCGTCATCGCCGTCGTCAACATCATCAGCATCAACACCATCAGCATCATAATCAGCATCTGCATCAGCATCATCATAATCATGACCCTCATCATCATCATCATCCTCATCCTCCCCATCAGCACCATCATCAGTATCATCATCACCAGCATCAACATCATCATCATCATCATCAGCACCATCAGTATTGGCATCATCATCGCAGTCGTCACCTTTATCAGCAGCCTCATCGCCACCATTATAAACATCGTCGTCGTCATCGTCGTCATCGTGATCGTCATCGCCGTCGTCATCATCAGCATCATCAACATCATCATCATCAGCATCATCATCGTAATCATCATCATCAGCAGCATCATCATCGTGGTCGTCGTCAGCAGCGGCAGCAGCAGAAGCAACAGAATCATCACCATCCTGCCGCTGCTAAGATTTGCCCTCGACCATCGAGGATAGAGGGAGTTTGTTGGGACGCGTTCGGAAGGCTTTGCCTGGGCCTCTTTGGTCCTCTAGATGCATGGGGCCACCCGGCGGGGTCGGGATCTGGGGCGGAAGCGACACATATTTACCTCCTCCTTCTCCTACTCCTCCCCCTCCCCTGCTCCTCCTCTCCTCCTCCACCCCTCCTCCTCCTTCTCCTCCTCCTCCTCCTCGTCCTCATCCTGCTCCTCCTCCTCCACCTCTTCTCCTCCTCCTCCTCCTCCTCCTCCTCCTCCTCCTCCTCCTCCTCCTCCTCCTCCTCCTCCTCCTCCTCCTCCCCCTTCTCTAACGACCTTCCTCCCCTGCCCACCTGCCTTCTGCGTCCTGTTCCAGGCTTGTTTCGAGTTGCCAGTTGCAAGCCCCCGGACCTCTCGACCACTCTTCCTGCCCTCCTTCTCGATGTCCTGCTCATCCCCTTCCCATGCGTCCTCCTGCCCTCTTCAGGATAGATTGCCCTCCTTCTCGAAAGACCACTGAATCCCCGCTGAAAACAGCACTCCAGGGAGAGGAAAAGAGGATCCGTCCCTTCCCTCCCCATCTCAGGAGGAGGTGCAATATGACGCTGCAACCTCTGGAGCGCGGGCAATCTATGGAGTGCAACTCACTTTGACTGTCTTGAAGCTGTCCTCTCCACTGCTCGTGCAAACATCCCACCCTCCTACCCGCAACTTGGTCGCAAGACCTCTTAAGACCGTGACGGTAGGTACCAAATGGCACTTGGCAAAGACACCGACGCCGACGACGACAGCGACGACGACGACGTCGACAACGCCGACGACGACTACAACGACACCGACGACGACTCCGACGACTTCGACGACGACAACGACGACGACGACGACACCGACGACGACGACGACGACGACGGCGACGATGGGGGAGGAGGGAGGACGGCGACGACGACGACGACCACGACGAGGAAGGAGGAAGGACTGCGACTGCGACGCCGACGCCGACGACGACGACGACGAGGGAGGAGAGGACGACGACGACGGCAACGAGGGAAGAAGGAGGATGACGACGACGACGATGGCCACGACGACGACGGACGACGACGACGACGAAAAGGACGACGAACGACGACAACGGCCATGACGAAGAAGGAGGGAGGACGGCGACGCCGACGACGACGACGACGACGGCGACGACGACGACGACAAGGGAGGAGGGAGGGCGACGACGACGACGACGACGACGACGGCGACGAGGGAGGAGGGACGACGACGACGACGACGGACGACGACGAGGGGGTGGAGAGGTCCGGCGAACAAGACGTGAGTCGAGAACTTCTCGACGCCGACGACGCCGACGACGACGACGAGGGAGGAGGGAGGACGACGACGGGAACGACGACGACGACGACGGCGACGACGACGCCAACGACGACGACGCCAACGACGACGACGACGACGACGACCACGACGGCGCCGACGACGACGATGACGACGAGAAGGATTTCGGCATCCGCGAACGGCGGCCGCGCGCATGTGCCCCGCATGGTGTTTTTTACAAGGGATTGTGGCCCTGGCGAGCGCGCGACCGATGTTTAAGGAGTTCGACGCGCGCGCGCGCAAAAGTTGTTCGCATGACCGAAATATTGAAAACCTTTGGCTTTTCCAGGGTTCGGAAATCGCGCGCGGGTAGACATTGGTTGCAGGAAGTATAATACGATTCGTGTGATTTCATGAAGCTCAGTCTTGAAAATGTTAGAAAACGCAGTGTGTTTGGAAGAATTTCGACATGCGCGCGCGGCGGCCGCGCATGTGCCCCGCATGGTATTCTTGCAAGGGATTGCGGCCCTGGCAGGCGCACGACCGATGTTGAAGGCGTTCGACGCGCGCGCAGAAGTTACTCGCATGACAGAGAGGTTGAAAAACCATTGGATTGAGGATTTGGAAATCGCGCGCGGGTAGAATGTTTGATTTGTTTGCAGGTGTATAGTACGATTCGTGCGATGAAGCTCGGTCTTGAAATTGTTGAAACTACAATCTGTTTGGAAAGATTTCGACCTGCGCGCGCGGCGGCCGCTCGCATGTGCCCCGCATGGTATTTCTTACAAGGGAGTGTGGCCCGGGCAGGCGCGCGACCGTTGTTGAATGAGATCGAAGAGCGCGCAAAAGTTGCCCAAGAAGCCCGATTGGACAGGAATGTTGAAAAACCATTGAAGGATTTGGCAAGAGCGCGCGGGCAGATGTTTCAATTTTTGGGTGAGAAAATCGTATGCTGTCATAGTTTCTCTTGAAGCACGATGCTGAAATTGCTGCAAGCACAGCGTGTTTGGAAAGATCTCGACATGCGCGCGCAGCGGCCGCGCGCGTGTGCCCCGCATGGTATTTTTTACAAGGGGTTCGTGAACAAGTGCTACGCTAGAACAAGCAATGTCACCGAATAGTGTGTTTTGCAAGGGAGCCGAGGGGGGACCGATACTGGCCTGGCTGGGAGAGTATGAATTCACAGGTCGGATGGACACTGGGTCAGAATCACATGTGTTTTGCATAGGTTCACGGGGAGTCGATAAGGCTTGGGGGGGAAGGGTGGTAGAATCTATCTCCTTTTAGAAAGGAGAATATATGGTGGGCATTCGATCGAGTGCAACATTTTAAGTGCACTGATGACAACGACGATGGTGATGAAGATGAACGTGATGACGGCAAAACTAATGACGCTGGTACAACGGCAATCCTGATGAGGATGATGAGATGCACGCGAGTAGAGCTTCTGTATGCCTAACAGAAATTGCATTGAAGGGCACATGGGTTTTCGTATGTCGTTGGGAACGTATGTGTTCAAATTCTTGGAAATGGAAAAGTTCGACGTGCGCGAGCGCAAAAGCACGCGTGTGGCCCGCATGATACCGTTTGACAGAATGCCAAACAGTCAAACTCTTAAGAATACGAAATTGCAGAGTCTTCAGATGAATGTGTAATGGTGAGCGAGCGCGCGCGCAGAATTCGGACAAATGCTCAATGGAAACAAAAAATCACTGTATGTTCGTCAGCGTTTGAAGGCATCTGTATTGAAACGGTTCGTCTTTCAATGGATTTGGAAGGGTTTCGACATGCGCGCGCGGCGGCGCGCGCATGTGGCCAGCATGGAAGTACGGGGGCCCGTATCAAGGCGCATGTTTGGATCAGCGCGTGCGCACCGCGTTGTATTATTTAACATGGGTGCAGGGGGGGTCGCTACCGGCCTAGCTGGGGTGCTGCTACTTGCCAACTGTAAACAAAGAAGAATGCTGAATACATACGGGGAAATGCGGAGGGACCTGGTAAGTCCGACCTCGCATGGGAAGGTTGAGTCAAGGGCGTCCAACTTTGCGCTTCGCGCAGCGCGCAGCGCGAATAACTTCGCGCTCTCGCGCCGCCCCAGGAGAGCAGAGGACGACGAGGAATCGGAGCCGAGCTGCGAAGCGCGAATAGCTTCGCGCCCTCGAGGGCGCCCTCGTTGAGCCCAGTTCTGTGTAAACCAAAGCCAGCGGAGTGCAGCCCGTGGGGTGCAATCTGTTGGGTGCAAGCTGTCGGGTGCAGCCTGCGCGAGGCGGTCACAGGGCGGCAACGGGGCGGCAGCAAGGCAGCAGCGGCACGACCTTGTCCTCGAGGAGAGAAGTAGGGAAGCCTCAGTGCAAGCACGCTCAGGGGAGAAAGCGATATCCTGCTCCCAGAGAAGAACAACCAGCGGCTGCAGAAACATCAATTGTCGGGCGTCCGCGAGGAATTCCCTGTGTCGACGCTGACCCCCGCCCCCTGACGCGCGAAGCGCACCGGTGGCGGCGCCAGAGGCGCCACAAAGGGCTTCCCAGGCGCCGTCCCAAGAGGTCCGCGCGGACCTCGGAAGATGTATGCTCACGTCGTTGTTGCTGTTGTTTTTGTCTTTCGAGCCCCCGCCTCCTCCTCTCCGCCCGCCCACCCCAACCTCGGAACGGGGAGACGCGGTGCATAAATAGCACAAGGGGGGGTGGCGAACCAGCTGCATGCAGCCGTTTCTCTTGGGGCCTCGTACATGAGGACTTGCTGACAAGAATGAGGACATCCCAGCCTTCGCTCGAAACATTATCCATTCATTCTTCGCTTCCTCTAGCTGAACAGTTCTCAAAGTCCTGGTCTGCAATGCCCTGGCGTCTGGGGCCCCGAGGTTCCTGGCGCCTCCTGGTGCCGACGGCGCCCATGCCTCCAGGTCACCTAACTTCGCGCATCGCGCCCCGCGATGCGCGATTATCTTCGAGAGTGGGTCTGCGTTTCGTCACGCTTAGCATGGGGGAAGACAGGCCCTGAGGGAAACGGGTCCTGGACCTTGGGGCCTTCCCCCAGGACCAACTCTTCATCCCGAATCGTTTTCGGACGGTCCCGGGGCCCGTGGAGGGCCCCGAGGGCCCGAAAGCGGGGCACAAAACTCAGGACCCGTTTCCCTCAGGACCAGCTTCCCCCATGGCGATCACTTCCTGAGTCCGCCCCGAGTCTCCCAGGGCCGTGGCCCGCCTCGTAGTTGGAGATGTCCATGCCGAGGGCCTGCAGCATCGGGCCTCGGCCGTCCGCGGGTACTCCGCCCGCCCCCTCCTCCTCCTCCCCGCTCGGACCCGGGCGCCGCACAAAAAGTGGGACGGCCAATGTGAGACATGAGCACACACACACACACGCACACACATATATATATATAGATCGAATTATATGTACATGTATATATATATACATACATACATACATACATACATACATACATACATACATACATACATGCATGCATGCATGCATGCATGCATACATACATACATACATACATACATACATACATACATACATACATACATACATACATTCATTCATACATACATACATACATACATACATACATACGTGATCGATATAATTATACACATAGATTCGCCGCGCCGCTTGTCCTCGACGTGCCCCAGTGGACGACGCCGACAAGGCAAACCCGCGGCAGACCCTGCGCCCGGCGCCCAAGCAGACGACGCCAGCGCCGCGGCAAACCCACGGCAAACCCACCGCGTCCGAGGCGGTGCCTGCCATGGTGGCCGAGGCGCCCTGCATCGGAACAAACGGCGCGGCGAGGTGTGTACTCCAGATTTCGTAATAAAAGGGAGGGGGGTCACAACCCTCCCAGACGAGAAGTTTTAGACCCCCCAGACTGTCCATGGAAGGGCGGCCCTTTGCCCAGACCCCCCCGAACCCTCCAAGACAGCTCAAATTAGGCCCCCCCCCGAATGTGACCCCCCCCACTTCGTTATGGAATCCGGAGTACACGCTGGCCCAAATCATAGACGGCGGCGCTGCTCGCAGCGGCGAGAGAGGGGAGCACGAGGGCTTGGGGCCCCTTTGTCGGGGCCCCGAACTCTGGCCGCAGTCGGCTCCTTCCCCAGAAAGGCCGACCACGGCGCCCTCAATCAATCGACTCTTCGGCCGGCACCCATACACAAGGGCGGCGGCATCTCCCCGCCCCCTGCCACAACGAGCATCGGCCTCTCAGCTGGCAACAAACATGAGGAACGAGGGGCGGGGGGGGGAGAGGAGCGCAAGAGGGCGATCGGCACCCAATAATGCCAGAGCTGGAGAGCTGGTGATGATGGTGCCTCGTGTGTCAGTGCTGTCTGAGCACCGCTTACAACGGTAGCGCACACGGCTGAAAACCAATGGCCCCTGAGTAAAATATAGCGTCTAAGCTGCCTCGATAGGCGCCTGTGTGTGTTCCGCGAGCGGCCCGCGATGCCGAAGCAGAAGCGCTGGCGATAATGATGATGGCTCCAAAATTTTGTTTGTATCACAATCGCAGCTGAAGGTGGTGCACACTACTGGAAGCCGATGGCACTGCAACGTGTAGGTCCCCAGATGCTCAGAGAGGGCAAAAGGCGTCCGTGATGGGCCTGCTTTCCACCACCACCACCACCACCACCACCATAAGTAGGAGGGGGAGGGGGTCCTCCTCCTCCTCCTCCTCCTCTCCTCCTCCTCCTCCTCCTCCTCCTCCTCCTCCTCTTCCTCTCTTCCTCCTTCTCCTCCTCCTCCTCCTCCTCCTCCTTCCCCCCTCCAACTCATGGTGGTGGTGGTGGAAAACAGGCCCACCAGTCCGGAAACCTTGGCCCTCGAGCCATCGGGCCCCCAGGCGCGGGCCCGAGGCCGGCAAGCAGCTCGACCTGCTGTGGCGCCCCGGGCCGCCTGTGCCGCTCGCGCTGGCCACAGCCCTTCGGAGCCAGAGCCGAGGGCCGCGGCTGGCAAACCCCCCCCCACGCTCGGGGAGACGTAAGACTCGGGTACGGGGGACTCGGGTTGGCCCGACGGGGGGACATCCCACGAAAACTGGACCGTCAAAATCCAGGACGCGTTCGTCAAAAAAACGTCGGCAAACCCGAGTTTCGGCTTACTCGGGTCTTGCGTTTCCCCGACACGCGCGCGCCAGTGCGCGCGCGGTGTGCACGCGCGCGCTTACCACACACCCATTACCCCCGCTCGCAGCGACCAAAAGCACGACAAGGAGAACAAGGAAGGCTTGTATCCGTATCCACGATGTCACCTCATCGTCTCTATTTCACCGTTTCTGCCCACGCACCTATGCTGTGAAGGGCTTCTGTCTGTCTGCTTTCTCCAGAAACCAGAGATGCAGCGGATATGGATAAAGACCTGGCCCCTAGAGGCTGGATGTTTACCCATATCTGCTGCCCCTCGGCCTTTTGGCGCCCCTTCCCAGGAAGCCCAAAATGCCAAGGATATGGATATGGGGATTGTTTCCGGTCTCTGGGGAACCCGGCGAGGGCCCCCGGGACCGTCAGAAAATGACCCCCGATTAAAAGCCGGTGCCAGGGAACGGGTCGAGACCTCCGCGGGTCCACGTCGTCCCAGGTCTGGGTCTGGGTCCCCAGACACGCGGTGTCGTTAAGGCCCAGGGGGTTCAGCCATCGAAGATGGCTCCGGGAGGTACGAGGAGCCACCCCCGGGGAAAGCGGTCAAGACCTCTGGGGCCGCGCACTGCGAAAAACCACATCGTCGGACCTCTCCTGCCAGCTTCCCGCGCGCTGCCAGGGCACCTAGATCTCTTACGATATCCCTCTTCAATGTGGCCCCGAGGAGGTCCCGACCCTCCCCCCCCACCCAAATCTTTGGATACCAAATTTGTTCGGTCGCGACCGGTATTGACCGATCGGCACCCCAAGTCGGTCACGACCGATCGCCAGCAACTCCAAACTCGGTCGGGACCGATCGCGACCCATTCTGAAGAGAAAGTCTGTCGCGACTGATCGCAAAATTTGAAACCGAAACGGTAACGACCGATCTCGTCGGCCGCGACGGAAAAACAAATCGTCGCGTCCACTGAGCAAGGCCAGGGATGGTGTTTGTTGGTACATGTTTGATTGAAGGGGCCCCAGGACACACAAATAAAAATACACAAATAAAAGGCTTCCCTATATTTTCCCATATTTTCTGGGTTTTTGTCTTCCCCCCCACTTCCCATATTTTCCCATATTTTCTTGGGGGTCGACGATTAATTGTGTCTGTGTGTTTTTCTCCCTCCTGATTGATGGTCCCCGGGCCGGAGGACGGGCCCCGGACGCCGAGATCAAGGAGAAGCGTCCAGATTGAAGAAGCGCACTGTCGGAGTACCCGTCCCTCGCGAGTCGGGCGAAAGGGGGGGATAGCAAAGGGGACATACAGACAGACAGACAGGCCCGCACTCCAGCCCCTTGGGGGCGGTCCTCTAAGAGGGCAGGCGCATGGGACACGCGGTCCCCCGCACTGGGAGAGACTACTGGGTTGTCGCTGCATTAACAGATTTGGGAAAACGTAAAAAATAGCAAAGGGGGGGGGGGGGAGAATCATCCCACGTATAGCTGACTTCTCCGGCGCCTCCCGGCGCTGGAGGCGACGACGTGTCGAGGAATGGGCCCCTCGGTAGGGCCGAAACCAGCTGCTTGCAACAAATTTCGCACCCCCCCCTTTCCCAATCCCCCCCTTTCGTCCGGCCCGAGTCCCGGTGGCGCTGAGCGTGGCCGGAGCGCTAGCCGCCGGACTCGGAGTCCCGATCTCGAGGGGGATGCTGATCATCACCTGGTGCATCGGACCTCGAGGGGGGGGGGGCGGGGGCGAGCAGGGCGGAAGGGGCAGAGGGAGGAGGTGGGTAGAGACCATCTGACCGGGAGAGGAAGTGCCTGGGAGCAGCAGGAGGCAGAGGATGATGAGCAGCAGGACGTGGACGACCACGAGTGGGGGAGAGGGAGAAAGAGGACAACCACGATGATGGCAAGGTAATGGGATAGTCAGGGGAAGGGCGAGTGGCAAGAAGAGGGGAAAAGGAAACAATGGCTCAACGGTGGATGCGATAGGCGCTACGACCTTAGCTTCGACAAAACGTCGAGCAACCGCTAAAATAAACCCATACGACCACCCTTCGGGTAATCAGGAGGTTGGGGGGGTTGGGGGGAAGAACCAATTGCTCGCAAATGCGATCGTTGTGCTGATGACGATGCTGGTGACGCGCCCTTGAGTTAGCGACAACGCGTGATGACAGTGTTACGCTGCGATGTGATTTCACTTATCCTCCCCGCTTTCTATCTCACAACCATTGCAACAATCAACCTCGCAGTCCATCTGACTTTTGATCTGACTATCCATCCAGTTCTAGCTACCTCATCATCGATCTCACGACCGACTTCACCATCGATACCAAGGCGGGATCACCCTCGGCCACCGCCCGCTCACCGCCGACGGATCACCGACAGGACACAAACGAGACCCCAACGGGACACCACAGAACACCACGGCGGGACACCCCGGGCCATCGCGCGCCCACAGCGGGCGGAGGGGCGGTCCATTGTATCCGAATCGCCCTAGCGACGGCGGGGTCATTCCCCTCGCGCGCCCACGCAGCTTCGCCTCGCCCGCACGCACGAGACGAACAAGAAACCGAAACTGACTTCCTGGTGGGAGGCTCTCCATTCCAATGCGATCTCATCCCCCAACCTCCGACAATGTCGAATGTGGCATGGGTGATCGAAATTTGATCGCAATTGGCGTTCAAAGGATCGACGCGGTAAAGGAAAATAATCGGCAGCAGCGTGGAATGGGGACACGTCCCTGCAATGTCCCGGCGGAGAACCAGGGGCAACGCGTCCTACTCCTCCTCCTCCTCCTCATCCTCCTCCCCCTCCTCCTCCTCCGCCTCCTCGTCCTCCTCCTCCTTCGCGTCCTCCTGGCCCTCCATCTTCCCATCGTACCAGTAGGTTGTCTCATCCACCGGCACCTGCTCCTGCAACCCCCTGGAACACGACCACCGCTGCATCCCCCTCCTCATCGTGGTCCTCCTCCTGGCAGTCCTGCCCATCCTCCTCTTCCCGCTCCCTCTCTTTTTCCTCTTCCTCTCCCTCCCCTCCTCCTCTTCCTCATGCTCCTGCACTTCCTACTCCTCATCCTCCTCCACCTCATCCTCCTCCTCCTTTTCCCCCGTGCACCCCTTCCTCGTCCTCCTGCACCACCTCCTCCTCCTCCTCCTCCTCCTCCTCCTCCACCTCCTCCTCCTCCGCGTGAACACCTTCCGCGGGCAGCTCAAGCGCGAGTGCCCGCGCAATCGACCCTCTTCAGAAGGACCGCAGGTGAGCGGACAAACACAACAGAACTTGACACGAAGACACGGTGGCGTTGCGCGGTGGCTCACACAAGCCGCTCGCACGGCAGACCGAGAAAACAAGAGAGCGCTTACACGCCACCTTCCACAGGCGGGCTCACGCGCGAGTTCCCACGCAAACAATCCCCCGTGAACTTCTGCCCGCCCGCCACCCTCCCCTTAACCAATCCGCCGTGGGCGAAATGTGTCGCCTAGTTGTGGTTGTGGTTGCGGTTGTAAATGCGGTTGCGCCTGCGGGCGGGTTGAAATGTGTCGCCTAGTTGCGGTTGCGGTTGCGACCGCGGGCGGGTTGAAATGCGTCGCCCAGTTGCGGTTGCGGTTGCGGTTGCGCCTGCGGGCGAGTTGAAATGCGTCGCCTATAGTTGCGGTTGCGATTGCGACCGCGGGCGGCTTTAAATGTGTCGGCGGGTTGCGGTTGCGATTGCGCCCGGGGCGGGTTGAAATATGCCTCCCAATTGCGGTTGCGGTTGCGATTTCGCCCGCGGGTGGATTGAAATGTGCCGCCTAGTTGCGGTTGCGGTTGCGGTTGCGCCCGCGGTCGGGTTGAAATGTGTCGGCTAGTTGCGGTTGCGGTTGCGCCCGCGGGCTGGTTGAAATGTGTCGCCCAGTTGTGGTTGCGGTTGCGGTTGCGGTTGCGCCCGCGGTCAGGTTGAAATGTGTCGGCTGGTTGCGGTTGCGGTTGCGCCCGCAGGTGGGTTGACAAAAAATCCCTCTCCAGTTCAACCTGCTCAAACCAATTCAGCCCGGAGGGCACGAAATTTCCCCCTGCACCGTTGGAAAACAGTGGCAATGGTTGAGTGACTCACTACAAGATGTCAGCATGCGTGTTGATAACGGAAGCGAATGAGCACTGAGGACCTCGAAATGCCCAGCTCCCCACATTAGCTGGAAGCTTCATAGGTAGACTGGTCAAAAGAAAGAGACCCTGGGTGTTGCCTCTCTCTCTCTCTCTCTAAAGTTTCTCTATCTCTCTCGCTCTCTCTCTCTCTCTCTCTTTCTCTCCATCTTTCTCTTTCTCTCTCTCTCTCTCTCTCTCTCTCTCTCTCTCTCTCTTTTGGTATATATATATATGTATATATTGTTAGCTCGTTAATCATCTCTGTATGTACATCTCTCTCTCTTCCTCCATGTATACATACTAGACAGAGTCGCGCGCGCTCCGCGCGCACTCTGTATCTAGGTAGCTCCAGGCGTTGGGAAGTCCACACTGGATCATGCTTGACTCCTCACTCTCCAACTGCCCTGCTAACCATCCTCATCTTTTGCGGCTGTCGTCTGCCGTCCTGCTTCGTCTTGCCTTCCCCCGCCTGCTGTTGCTTCCTCAATCCTCGTCCAGGCAGGCGAAAGAGTACAGAGTAAGAAAGAAGTGTATGGAAGAAAAGCGGAGGAATGAGGCAGCCAGAAGGCAGGACGGAGGAGACGGGAGGATGGAGGACAGGGAGGCTCCTAAGTGGGCAGATAAGGGAAGGAGAAGGGGGAAGGAGGCGGGATAGGCAGGAGTCAGGATGCAAGGAGGAACGGAGGAACTGACACACCAAGCGGAGGGGGAGCGCAGCTCCCATTCGACACGTCCTCTGCAGGTGCCCCTCCTCCTGACGCTCACCGAGCGACCCTGCAGGGTGCGGTTGCAGAGGGCGCTGTCTGCGACTCCGCACCCGGCGGGGCGGGCGACGACCTCGACGGAGTGCTCCGCCGCGCCCCGAAGAGGCCCGACAAGGGCAGCGTGCTGCCCCCCGAACCCCAACGGCGCCAATCGCAGCCACCTCCCCGGTTCAAACACACCCTTCGCATTGACCAGTGACCGACCGTCCCGTGCCCTAGGAACAAAAATAGTGCTCTTAGAACCCGATGGATTCCAACAGGATTGCGTCCACCCAAAAACGTTCTAAGACCACTTGTTTGGTGGGCCTATCGGCAAGTCAGGACGCTTCGCCACTGCTTGACCAACGGCGTCGATCGAAGACCGCACCCCACCGTAACCACGCCCTCTTACCGGGGAGACTTACGACTCGGGTTCGTGGGATTCGGGTTTGCCTGACGAGGCCGTCGGGAAGATCACGATACTTCGCCAGAAATTTGACGCGAGCCCCCGCCGCAAACGTCCCACGATACTTGAACCGCCAAAAGTCTCGACGCGCCCATCGAGAAGCGTCGGCAAACCCGCGCTCTGGCAAACCCGAGTCTTATGCCTTCCCGACCTCCGGCCAGGCCCCCCACGAGGCCGCCGCTGCTCTCCTCCGGCGGCCCCTCCTCGCCGTGACCAGGGCGCCCGCACGACGGGGCCCGCGACCGACGCCTGCGGGGCCCGCGGCCTGCGCCCGCCTCTCAGATCCTGGCGCCGCAACCTCTTCACTCGGGCGGGTGGCAACGGGGGGCGACCCCAGGGGCCCAAGAGTGAATCTAGACCAGAGGGCAGAACATCCACCCCGATGATGACCACCCCGGCACGCGGAGCCGTTTGGTAAACGCACCCAACAAGGAGAACCAAACAAGGCTGGGCTGTTTCGTAAACGCCCAAGGCCGTTTAGTAAACGCCAATTGTCCAGTCCGGGCGGTCTTCCCCGCCTTGATTCTTCTTCACCCCCCATTTGGGCCACCCCCCTACCGCCCGCCCGACACACACACACACACACACACACACACCGGGCGTTTCCGCCTGGCCTCGGGCAAGACGACGCCAAGACGATGATACATCGGGCGAAGATGAATCGGGCGAAGGTAAATCGGGCGAAGATAAATGAAACATCGGGCGAAGATAAGTCGGCCGAAGATAAATCGGAGATACACTGGGCGAAAGTAACTCGAGGATCTCCGACATCCCGCGGCTCTGAGAGGATGAATCGAGCGCCGCGGACGCGGAGAGCGCTCCGGAACGCTCCGAACGCGATCCGGCATGCCCCGGACCGGACTCCTCCTCATCCGGGAGCGGCCAAGAGGGGGGTGTCCAAGAGGGGTGACCGGCGACATGTGCGCGGCCCAGCGGGGGTCTAGGGACGCAATGAAATACGAAGAGGCGCCATGAGATCTGGGGACATATCATGGCCCCCGCCATGATATCCACACCCCCCCTAATCATCACCCCCCTCTTTGCCGCCCCCGACTCATCCTAGCCCCGCCCGATCAGGCCCCGGGGCCCTCGCAGGCCTCGGAGAGCCCTCCCGGGGTCCGAGGCCCGCGCTCAGGGGCGCCCTCCTGGGCCTGTCCCCGGCGCTGCCCCGAAGCCTGGGGGATTCGCCTGAGAGAGGGGCGCTCAATTGAGGGGGTTCGCAGCTCGTGGCCCAAGGCACAGCTGGCGGCGCGCACAAGGGGGTAGGAAAGAAGCAGCAGGTCGTCGTGGCGGGCTTTCACTGGGTGGACCGCCGTCTGCGCAGGGAGCGACAGCTTTGCTGGGCTTGCACCAGCGCCTACGCCGCCTCCGAGAGGAAGCAGCAGGTCCCGAGCTTGCACTGGGCGCGGCTGATTCTAAGGAGGCGGCGGCCCTACATCTACAGACAAGATCCGGTTCGAAAAATGCCGCAGGGAGATAGGGTCTCTTGGGGGCCTGGAGAGCAGCAGCAAGACAAACACAGGGGGGTCTCTTCAGGGAGAGTATGATGCTGGATGCTGGCGCTGGTGGTAATCTCTCGGCCACCTCACAAGCTCGAATACGACCGCTATCGTCGAGATCAGGCGGCTCATCTTCGTCGGTGGAGGCAACGGCCGGTGCTGGTGTGGGTGCCAACCCCTAGGCCTCCGAGTCTAGGGCTCTGGTCGTGACTGTTCTTGGTGGCGCGCACAACGGGATAAGGAGGAAGGGGGAAGGTTTCTTAGACAGAGGCTGCTTCTTAGAAGGTGCTGTCCTTATATCTACAGACAAGGCCCGCGCCTTCCAAGAGGCAACCTCCATCTGAAGAGCCGTCCCCCTCCCACTGCCCCGTTGTGCGCGTGGCCGACCTATCGGCGGTGGACAAACCTCCCTTTAGTAGACCTCCCCTTAGTGAAACGGCCTGGGACCGACACCGACGGACCTGGACCCGCAAAAATGACGGACGCGACGCCATCTCGCAAACCGAAAACGGCCAATTCCTCAATCGACGTGTCAGAGTAGGAGATCTGTCCACCCCCGACCCTAGGCCTCCAAGCCCAGGGGTTCCGGTCGCGACTGCTCGCGGTGCTGCACCTCCTGCGCAGCGCCAGACCTCGGGGGAGGCCTGCGCCCCGACGGGGCTGGGCCTATAGCGCAGGGGCGGAGGAGGGCAGAGACGGGCTCGCGTCGGGACAAAAAAAAAACACGGCGGGACTATTGCTTTCTTTGCAGTTTTCGGCCCCTGGATAGCAGGTCGAACAAAAAGCACCGTCCTAATAGGCACCCCGACGAGCGGAGCCGTGTAGTGAACGCACCCAGGGAAGGAATCGAATAGGACAGGGCTGCATCGTCAACGCACGTGGCCTTCCAGCAAACGCCCTATCATTGGGGGGTCGGGGTGGCTCTTCGGCCCTCGACTGGGGAGCCCCTCGCCGGGCCCCCAGGCGACCGTCGGGACGCGACTCCTGGTGAGAGCCCAGGCCCGCGGGAGGGGTCGAGGCCTGCGGGGGGGCCCGCGCGGGGGCGGAGACCGCGGCGTCGGAGGAGTCCGGGGCGGAGGGAGGCGCGGGGGCCAGGGAGGGTCGCGCGGGAGGGGCGCCCCGCAGCGGAGGGCTGGGCAGGAGGGGGTCGGGCGGCTCGAGCTGTGAGGACCAGGGGAACGAACTCTATATACACCGACGCTTCTCCAAACCCTGCGCTGAAACTCGCACGGGGACGCGGATTCTGGTGTATACGGGGTCCTGGTGTATACATTTTTCGCTGTTTGCCCGGGACATCGGGGAACAAAAGTATACACCACACCACCCCAGCGTCGTACCCGACCCTCAAATAGTCCTGGGTTTGGAAAACAGCCCGCCACTGGTAATGTGTATGTTCCAGTTTCCGAAGGACGGCAACGCGCGCGGAGAGCACGATGCGTGGGGGTCGAACCAGACGTAGCGAGACGGTCTCCCATCAAGTCGTGGACGATGATGAGCTCCCCAGCGTAGATTTTGTCGTGCAGCGTGTGCATGGAGATCGCCTGCACGGGCCCACCCGCTTGCCACACGCAAGAGTGACCCCTAGGAACGAGTGACCTTTGGTGCGCGGCTTGCCGAGCCTCGAACCCGGTGCGAAAGTAGCGACCTGCGTGCGTGTGCTCGGCACGATGCCCAACAGCAAATGTAGTCCAAAACCGACGGTGGCCGCTGTTGGGCAGGCAGCCTTCTGCCTCAAATGTGCAACGCCTGCTGCGGCACCGACAGCCGTACAAAATGGGCAGGAACTGCTGTTGATCTTCGATCACATTCTTCCCGTACCCATCTCGATCGTACCGAGCGCGGGAGGAGAGAGGGGAGGCATGCCCAGGGCCCAGGAGAGGGAGGAGGCATGCCCAGGGCCAGGACCGACAGGCCGACATGGCTTGCGCCCCGAGAGCCGCACGCAACAGGTCACGCAGGCCAAGGGTTAGGTCGGGCATGTCCCCCTACAGGAGGATTTTGGGAGAAAAAATGGCAATAGTCAAACAACTGCCCAACAAATGCCCAAACATAAGCCCAACAAACAAATAGATAGTATAAAAAGTGCCCTGACGATTGTTTCACTATTTTTGAGTTTGCCTTCTGTAGAGGGACGTGCCTGACTTAGGCCAAGGTGCGGGCAAAACGTGTGTCCATATCCACTGCAGCTTGGGGTTTCGGACTCCCTTCCCCAGAAGGTCGTGGAGCACTGAATAGGGACAAAAATCAGGCCCCGATTAGAGGCTCTCGAACTCTATCCGTATCCAGTGCGCCTCGGCCTTGCGGCGCCCCTTCCACGAAAGCCCAAGACGCCCTGGATATGGTTATGGATATCGCCCGCACAAGGGCCACGCTCACGCGGAGCCGACCAGCGCCACCTGCGCCTGCCGAGACAGGCCCCCCCTGGGGCGGGGGTCGGCGGACGGGCCCCCGCCCGCCGCACGCGAGCGCTGGCCCAAGGCCTCTCCTCGAGAGAGTCGCCCCGAGGATCGGGGGAACGAAAAGGGGGGGCTATGTCGGGAGCGGCCAAGAGGAGGGTCTCCAAGAGGGGGGGGTGCAAATCACGGCCGGCGGCATGTGCGCGGCCCCGCGGGGGGGGACAGGGACGTAATGAAATAAGAAGAGGCGCCATGAAATCTGGGGAAATATCATGGCCCCCGCCATGATATCCACCCCCCCTTAGTCATCACCCCCATCTTTTCCGCCCCCGAATATGGTGTTGCATCCTCGGGGGACCTCGTCTACCCCGTCGCTGCCCTGTCCGCGTCGAACCCGTGTCGAATCCGTGTCGGACTCGTCGAGCCCGCAACGGATCCGTGTCGAACTCATGTCGGAACCGTGTCACATCCACGTCGAGTCCGCATCAAGCCCGCGACGGGCACAAGAAAGGACACCAATTTAGGGGGACAGACGAGGTCCCCCGAAGATGCAACGTAAGGGATAGCAAAGTGTAGGGTAGAGAATCAGCTCACGTAGCTGATTCTCCCAGCGCCTCCCGGCGTCGGGAAGCGCCCATGCATCGAGGAATGGGCCTGGCGGCGGGGTCGAAACCAGCTGCATGAAACAGATTTCGTAGCCCCCCCTTTCCCTAACCCCCCCTTTCGATCGGCCCGATCCTGGGGGAAGATCAAGGTACACGTCGGTCGGAAGATGTAGGTAGAGACATTAAGCAAGAAGTCGTTGGAAGCAGGTTGGATATCCGCCCACCCCCTGAGGAAGGAAGAAGGAAACCACTCGATCCTTGATGTGGGAAGGCGCCTAAAGTAGACTGGAATCTGGGGACCCAGAAATACTTACTTTCAACGATCGTCGTGTACTGATGCCGCGCTACCCTGATTTGTTGGATGTCAGCATGTTCTGGCCGCGGCCGACGAGATCGGTCGCTGCCGATTTTGCCTCCAATTCTGGTATCGGTCCACTTGGGCGGCCTTGGTTGTGAGGGACGCCTCTGTGGGCAAAGGGGCGTTTGGCCACGAGCAGGCAGGACCGCCTGAACCGAAAGGGTCCAAGAGGCAACGGGAAGCACCCGAGAACCCCCTGAGACGCCTCGATGATGCTCTCGCGGCGACCCACCTGAGGCCAGAGCATGTACAAAACATGTGCCTCGGTGAGTGTGGCACTTCACTTCTTTCGCTGCCAGTAAGCCAATAAGCGTGAAGATACTCGAGGACGACACACCAAGCGGTCCAAATCAGTCCACACGTTCATATATCTCGCTACATGTGCTGCTCTGGCATTGGCACATACTGTGATGAGACAAGCACACTCGAGCACACACACACACACCACAGAATCATGCTTTCTCTCGAGCATACTTGGCATGCTGCATGAAACTCGCGACCGTGCCGCCAGGCATTTCGTGGACGAAAAACATGTCCGTATCCACGGCCTCGCGGGCTGGGCCACGGGGCCGCGACCCCGCGGAGACAGGGAACTTGTTCACGGATGCCCTGCGCGGAACGTACCCGTGCGACCGCGTGTCCGCGGGATCGCGCCCCCGAAGTCCGACCGAGAGGGCGTACATGTGGATACGTTCGCTGCTCGCGGGCACCGAGTGGATTGCCCTCAGGTCCCCTCGGGCCTGCTGGACATCTTGAGTGCTCTTGACAACGGCCCGGACCCCGTGCTCCAGGTGTTCACGCGCGCTCGCCAAACCCCTGCGTCACCTGTCCATGTCCAGAAGCCTCGGGAGCATGGCCGTGGGCGTGAGCCTCCAATGCGCTCTCTTGGGCTGCAGGAGGGGAGAGTCCCGGGGAGATCTCGGGCGCTTCTCTGGCTGGCCATCTTCGAGGCCTCGGGGGCTGGCCAAATGGGCCCACATGTTATAGATAGATCTTAGACTAAAAATATGTGCTTTTGTTTTTTAACAAAAAACTGCACGACGTTGTCATCCTCGACGGCTCGGAATCAAGAGTCCAAGATTGCCCAGGAGGCCCCCGAATATCGCCTCGGGGAGGCCCCAGGGAGGGGGCTCAAGAGGCCCCCAGGACGGCCCCGAGACCGGCCCAGAAGGCCCCTCCTCCTCCTCCTCCTCCTCCTCCTCCTCCTCCTCCTCCTCCTCCTCCTCCTCCTCCTTCTCCTCGCACGAAGCGGCAGTCGGATCCATTCACCCCAAGATGGTCACCGAGACGGCGAGCAGGCCCCCAAGAGGCACCAGAGAGGCCCCTGAGGCTGCCAAGAGGTCTCCTGGAGGCCTCGAAAAATTCCTCAGGGTTCCAAGGAACCCTCTAAGAGGGACGCCTCCCAAGCAACCCCAGGAGGCCTCTCAGAGGCCAGCCGCGGCGGCGAGACAGGACAAATGCCACTGGATAATCGAACATGCACACGTGTGACTGCCATACATAACCCGACAGGCTGCGGCCTAGATGCAGACGCCATGACACTATAAGCCTCAAGTGTGTAAAAAACAACGCCCATTGTGAGTGATCGAGAGGTGCAGGAAATATCCTTCTCTTGTTCATCCTATCCTTCCTCCTCCGCCTCATCCTCCGAGATGCTCGCCTTGACCTTGATCTCGGTGGCCACGAACTGCCAGCCGTGGATGTCTGGCAGAGCTGTTTCCCATTGACCCAGGTCGGAGCATGATCGTATAAGCTTTCGGCACACACGCAGTGCCCCGAGGGTGGTCACAGACAGCCCAACACGTCCTCCTCCATCTCCTCCTCCCCCTCCTCTCCACCTCATGCCCACCCCTCTGCCTCCCCCCATAATGCCCTCATAACCAAGATCAGGGACACAAATGTAAAACTAACATATCCCCCTTACCTCCACATAGGATACCAGAATGGAAATTTGCCACATAAACAATCGATATGGAATACTCAACGAAAAGAATCAACACGTAAGCCCGCTAAAACAGGAATCGGCGTGGAAATCCGTCACAACGACAATCGCAATGCACTCCGCCGCTAAACAAACTGCATGGAATCCGCCACAGAGGAAGAAAGCAGAAGAGGAGGATTGGCAGTGTGAAGGAAGAGGTGCTACAGGCGCATACTCCACTAAACCACCAACTCGAACAACCCGCCGTCAGGAGTTGTTGGCGACGCCCTGATCTGATGATCTGCCTCGGCCAGCGGTGACAAGCCGACCCGACGAAGAGGCGCCCCCGCCCGACTAGGAGGCCACACGACGGCAAGCCCTGGACCACGATGCTGGCCACGGCCGGCTGGAGGAGCGAGGCAAGCGCGGAAGACACCTGCCCCCTGAGTGGGCCCCGGAAACAGCAGGGCCGTTTTTTCACCGTTTCCAAAAACGTGTCCCTCGAAAATGGAAACGGCAAAAAAACGGCGACCGGAAACGGCAAAAAAACGGCTCCAGGATTGGAACCGGAGCCGGAACCGGTCTAAAAACGGCGACGGAACCGGTAAAAAAACGGCGTCGGAACCGGCAAAAAAACGGCAAAACGGAACCGGCAAAAAAACGGCCCTGTCGTTTCCAGGGCCCACTAAGCCTGCCCCTACACCACCACCATGCCAGGCCGAGGACTTGGTGCTCGATGGGCCCCAGGGCAGAACGTGTGCTTGAAAAACTCGCCAGCGGCGGGGCCGGGGCTGAACGCGACCAGCCCAGGGCCGTGCCTCACAAGGGCCATCCTGGGCCCTTGTGTGGCGTAGACGCCCCGCTGGACGCCTGGAACGCCTAGAAGCACCACCCTGGAGCCAAGGACGGACGGCCCGCGCCAGACATGGAGGTGGCGCGTGGGTGCTTTCTGCGACATGCCACGGAAACGACCAGAGTAGCGCGCCCTCCTAGGTAGCCGAAGAAGTCGTCGTCGGCGGTGGTGAAGTCCAGGGTGTACCTGAGGCGAGGTACCCGGAGGTCTCTAGAAGTTCCCGAGCGGGAGCTCCCCAATGGTCTCCGGAGGCCCCAGGAGGTCTCCAGAGGCCGCTGCACCGGAGTTTCAAAATGCCCCAGAAACTTCGGCCCTCTATCCTTTTCCTCCTCCTGCTCCATCCTTCGGTCGTATGGAATAAATTATCCTCCTCCTCCTCCTTCTCCTCCTCCTCCTCCTCCTCCCACTCCTCCTCCTGAAACGACATCACACATTATGATTCCCGAGCCTCACAAAAGTCACGCAAGAGGGCGAGTCGCCTGAGCGCCACGCACACTTACCTGAAGAACTTCCAATCGTCACTAGGATGGAGGGCGTCCCCCTTTTTTCAAGATGTGACTCTCGCCCCCGCACCGCGCAACTTCGTCGTCAACCGAACAGACACAAAGATAAAAAGCAGGGCTTTTCAAAATAGAGCTCTCGTTCTCGCTTGGAGCTTCTCCCAATGTACGACCTGGCACCTCATCCTCCTCTTCCTCCTCCTCCTCCTCCTCCTCCTCCTCCTCCCCCTCCTCCCCTTCCTCCTCCTCCTCCTCCTCCTCCTCCTCCTCCTTCTCCTCCTCCTCCTCATCATCATCATCATCATAATCATCATCAGCATCAGCATCAGCATCAGCATCAGCATCCTCCTCGTCCTCCTCCTCGCGAACCAGAGAGAGAGAGAGAGCAAAAAAAGAAAAAGAGAGAGAGAGACAGAGAAAGAGGGGGAGAGAGAGAGAGAGAGAGAAAGAGAGTTGGAAGCGGCTGGGGGTTCTGAGCTGGTTGATCCCCGAGAACATCGGTCAAGAGGGGGAAAGAAAAGCAAATACGCTCAAATTCGGCCCATGGACCCCTCCCAGGGTCTGGTGCAGGCTTTCTCCCGCTTTTGACGACCACGGGGCCCGAAAACAGCCGCCAAATAATAAAAAATACAAAAATCCCTGTCGGATCTAAAAAAATCGAACCTCTCCCCTTCCTGCTGGGCCACCTCAGACCCCCAGCCGGCTCCAAATGAGGCTGGTTTCTTCGGATTCTGGCCAGTTGTTTACTTGAATGGAGGGGGTGGAACGGAGGCGTGGCGAGGCCGGAAAGGAAATCTGGAATTCACGCGAGGTCGAGACACACTTGCACGCCTCTTGGGCCCAGCGCTCCTTGACAAGGCGGCAGGGGGGGGGGGGGAGCTGCCGCGAAAGTAAACTTGCCTGAGCCTGCTCAGCAGCAACCCCGAAGAGAGAAGGGCACTTGCTCGGCTTTGCCGTCACCGTCTTCACCACCTTGTAGTGCGCGTGCGCCTGCGGAGCCCGCCCGGGGCGGGGGGGCCCGGCCAGGACCCGGCGGCGGCGCGGGGCTGGCGGCGGCGCGGGGGCGCCACGAGGGCAGCGTTCGCCGCCCCAGAGGGCGGGGGATCGCGGAGCGAGGAGCGAGGAGCGAGCTCTCGTCAAGCCTCCAGAGAGCCCGCCGATTCTCGGCGGTCGGGGCTCCTCCTCCTCCTTCCTCCTCCTCCTCCTCCTCCTCCTCCTCCTCCTCCTCCTCCTCCTCCGCCGCCTCGTCATTCTCCTCTTCTCCCCTCGCTCCGCAATCCCCACGCCCGGCGCGCCCCGCCGGGGGCCCAACCCTCGCGCGCGCGCGCCCACTGGCGCTGCCGATGTGCAAGAAAATGTCTTCCGGGGGGCGTGAGGGGCAGCGATACGGGGGGAGGTTCAAGGTTCAAGGTTCAAGGTTGGGCGTGAGGGGCAGCGATGCGTGAAAAAGTCAAGGTGGGCGTGAGGTTCAATGTTCAAGGTTCAATGTTCAAGGTTGGGCGTGAAAAAGTGTGTCTTCCGGGGGGCGTGAGGGGCAGCGATGCGGGGGGAGGTTCAAGGTTCAAGGTTGGGCGCATCAGGATGGCTGGTACAGCGCGCCCAGCGGGGCCATGGCCCCTCACTTCTTCTTCATTTCCTGCACGAATCCTGTCCAATGTTGTAGCCAGCTTGAAGCTCTCCCATCGCTGTCACGCTGCTGGGCGATGCGGGGGAAGGCATCGACCTGGAATCGGCGATGCATCGCCGATAGATCGGCGATGGGCCTCCGATAGTGAACCCGCCCCCTTTCTGGGCAGGCTGGGGCCATCAGACCCCTATCGGCGATCAGTGGGCGATCGGGGGTCGATGCATCCCCCCCTATGCCTATCCCCCCCTACCGTTGCCCCCGAGGCTGGCAGTGTGCACGAGGACCGATGGGCGACGCCGACGGGAGCGGCCCGCAGAGGGCGGGGTGTGCAAGCCGCGCCCTCGGGGGCGGGCGAGGACCGAGGCTCGACGATCGCGGTCGCAGAGGAGGGAAGAATTGAAGGGGCCCAAGGACACACAAATAAACACACACTAATAAAAAGATGCCCCATATCTTCCTATATTTTCTGGGTTTCTGTCTTGCCCCCCACTTCCCATATTTTCGTATATCGTCCTGGGAATCGACGATGAATTGTGTCTGTGTGTTTCTTTCCCTCCTGAAAAACGGCGTAAACGCAAAAGGCTGGAGGTCGGCGCTGGAGTCTTTGGATCGGCGCTTGGCCCCAGCGGGGGCAGCACCGGCGCCAGCGCCGCCTCCGGCGTGCTGCGCGCGCCCGGGAGCGTGGTCGAGCGCCGACCCAAGGAGTCCGCGCGGGCCGAGGATGCGCCGCGAAAGTCTATACGCAGACGCCGACCGACGAGCTGTGCTCCCCGTGCCTTCCTGGAGGGTGGCGCTGTGCACAAGTCGAATAAAAAAAACGACCACAGAACGGATGCACCCCAATTAATGGATTCGTCCGCAGAATATACCAAACAATGCGCAGAATGTGCGTATGACTACGAACCGTCGAAATACTTGTTTGTGAACTCGGCGGAACAAGCCCTCATGCGGCAAAATTATTATGTAGCCGGTCTACTTCTCGAACCAGGACCCGTCGGCGACTCCAAAGGTTGCGGCTTGCAGAAAGTGCGGTCTGCAGCCCGCGCCCTCGGGGGCGGGCGAGGCCCAAAGATTCATCAATCGATGCTGCAATACACACTCCCCTCCTCATTCCCCGCCCGGTGAGTCCGCACCAGTACCACTTGAACGACGAGCGGCCACCCTTGAATGACGAGCGGCCAGGCGGTTCGACGGTCAAGCGAGGGCGTTTGTCGTAAGCGATCCTCGCTCCCCTTGAATGACGCCGAACGTCACCATCCATCGGTTTAAGCGTTGTGCGATGTCGCAGTCGTGGACGTATGCTCCGCAGAAGTCCCACGCGAGAACCCTTCAAGGAGGCCCACGGATACAGCCTCAACTGGAAAAGAGCATGCCTTCCATCCGTCTAAAATTGCAAGAAGACAAATTCGTGGACGCATGCTTCGCGGAAACCTCACGCGACAGGTCCGTTTCGAAAGAGGAACCACCATCCACCCATGTTATCTGTTGCACAATGTCGAACGCTGGGTCGCCGAGGTCGAGGAAGGGCCCAGTGAGAGTAGGTGGTGAACTTTGTAGTTATGCGAATGCGCGCGACGTCAAGGGAAGACCCCAGTACGGTGGGGGCGTTCGTTAAAGAATGCGCGCAGGGGGCTGCAGGCCATGGAATACTCTTTATATGATTAGGGCAGCTGCGATACCCATGGACGATCCATGAATCGAGTTCCACCAGCTTCCCGGCCCTGGATTCCTGATCGAACGGTTCCTTGCCCAATGCTCCCACCGTCTTGGAAAGGACTCGCCATCCACTCGCGCAATTAAGGCTCAATTGGAAGCCGAGTATGCACGGCCCGCGGAAGGCGTATGGCACCAGCATTGCGAAAGCTCCGCTGTGAAAACCGTTTGTGGTCTAGGCGTCAACGCGATTTGAATTCGGTTGATCATAGAGGCCTCCTACAGCGACGAGGACGATGAAGATGAGGATGTGGATGAGATTGCTGATGGTGGCGACGGCAAGCTTGGGGAGCGCAGCGCTTGGGAAAGGATCGTAACGTGTGGGGGCGCCTGAGGCCGCCTTGGAGCGACAGGGAGCGCCTGAGGCAGCCTGGGGAGCGCCCAGGTCCAAAGTCGGAGTCGGCGAGGGGTGCCCGAAACGTATCGGAGTAGTATGGAATTGCTATCGGTGAAGTATGTGTGTTTCTGCTTTTGGTGCCCAGGGGCTCTGCGGTGCACGGGGGTGGGCCGATGATGAAAATAAGCGGATGCGCACCGAGTGCTGTTTTGTACGTAGGATGGTGAAGGTCATGTCGGATGGACGTGCACCGAAATGCATATATTGCACAGGACAGCTAGGGTTGGGCCGCACGGATGTGCACCGAATACTACTATTACATCAGATGATGGGAGCTGGGCCGTACGGATGTACACCGCAAGATAGACGTTGTATAAAACGGTGGGGGGTCGAGAAGGTATGCTCTGCTGCGTAAAATGATGAGGGTTGGGTCAGGCGGATGGTTTGGCCGTACGGATGTAAACAGAACTACGCTGTTGAATAGGATGGTGAAGTTTAAGTCGGATGGATGTGGATCGAATCGTTTTGTTCGCATGGGATGGGTAGGGTTGGATCGTATGGAGGTGCGCGGCGCTGAGGGGAGAGCCACAGTTTGAAATGAAAAGGAAACGAACTCCATCCTTGAAATGGCTGCAAGGTGTTGCAAATAATGCGAGAGGCGCGGAAGCGAGAGACGCAGCTTGAAAAGGCATTGCCACCATCTTTGAAAAACGCTGCAAACTTTGAAGACGAACGCGCGCTGCATAAACGACCCGCCATCCACTCGTGAAACGGTTGCAAGTGTTTCAGGTGAACGTGCGCGGCGCTGAGGCGATAATCACATGTTACAAGGGAGCCGCCTTCCATCCTTGAAGTGGCTGGAACTGATTAAGACGCATGCGTGCGGCGCCAAGGCGAGAAACACGTGTTGAAAAGGAACCCGCCCTGCATCCGCGAAGCCGTTGCACATGTCAAGCTTCAGAGTCAGAACTGGCAGGAAGAATACCTACGGGCGAAACGACCAGACCCGCCTACGGACACGCGTGGTGGTGCAACACGGATGAATCTTCGATAGGGAAAACGGAATGAAGGTGAAGGAGGAGCTGGTGGGGGAGGAGGTTACGACGTTAAGACCTTGCGGCAACGAAAGTCGATAACCAAAACCGAATCAGCGGTGCAAGCCAACCAGGCTTGCATTGCGAACTATCTTGGCGGACCCATTTGGGTGTGGGCATAGGTCGTCATCTATATGGGCCAGAATCTGACCACTATCTTGGGAGAGGCACGCTCTGGGTCAGAAGGTATCGCGGGTCGGTCAGTGGAGCAGGAGGAGGGGTCGATTTTGAGGACAAGACAAGACAAGAACCGATGCGAGCCACATCTCCTGGTCTGCGGCGGCAGGCTTGGAACAGGCTCTCAGGTGCGATAAAGACGCATTCCAGCGACTGCCGCCGAAAGGACGGCCTTCACTTGCAGGAGGAGGCGGAGGTGGAGGAGGCCAACTTTGAGGAGGACACCAGGTCTCCACCACCTTGGACAGGTCACGGCAGAGTCGTCTCCCAGTTTCTGGTTCCGCGAGCAGGCGCACCAGGAGCAGCAGGGGACGCCAGGCGACGACAAAAACGCCGACGACGATGACGACGACGACGACGACGACGACGACGACGACGACGACGACGACGGACGACGGCGGCGAACACGACGACGACGACGACGACGACGACGACGACGACGATGACGACGGACGGACGACAGCGCTCGGCGCCCGGCGTCGTTCGGAGGGCGTTTGGAGGCCACGCGGCTGGGCGGGCGTGCCATCGGCTCCCAGTCGTCGCCCAGCGTCGCGAGCTCCGCGGGCGGCAAAGCCACCTGAGCGGTTCGGGGCGGTCTTGCTTTCAATCGCGGCGTGTCTCTTCAAGTGCCGCTCCTTCTCGGCCGCCCTCTCCTTTGCGTTTGCCGTTTCCCTCGGCACCATATGGAGAGGAAGAGGAAGAGAAGGGCAAAGAACACGCGATCCTCCGCACCACTCGCGTCTCCAGCTGCCAAGGGCGCCGCCACGGGGGCCCCAGCGCCGACCCCAGAAGTCGGCGCCCGAAAGTTTGTGTTTTTTTTGTTTCCGGGAGATGATTGCGAGAGGTGTATGTCCAGGCAGCTGCTTCTTCCTCGAGAGACCTCACGGGGCCTGCGGATTGGACGGATCGCATCTCGTCGGATGCCTGGGGTGCTGTCGGAGTGTCGGGACCTTGCCACAACGGGTGGGTCAAGAGCATGAGCCCACTCGCCGAGGGGGGCCCAGGGCCACACCCGAGCTCCCAGGACAAATGGCACTCCACGGGTGAAAGGCCCTGGCATGAAGTACACAAGAGGGGTACGGCGAGTTCGTGTCGTGACGACCCTGGCGCTGCTTTCTGACACCGCGTGGATCGTCGTTCAACCTGAAACGGTCGGCGACTTCTCGGTCGCCAGATCGTTCCATATAAGTCGATGCCGGGCCACTGGCGGCGTTCAACCTTGAACGTCCGCGGCGGGGTCGCCGCCGTTCCGGCACGACACGAGCCTGTCGTAACTTACTATTTCTATGCCCCTCCCAAGCTGGGGGGTGCTCCTGACCCTCATGCCAGCTGCACGCACGACGGTACGGCGGCCTCACGCGAAGCGATTTCGCAGGCCGCCGACGCGGCACACCGCGTGGCAGGCAACGAACTAAACCGTGTTTTTGAATTCGTCTTATTTTCGTTACCCGTCGTTTTGTCTTCAATCCGCCTTTGCTGAAATCGGAACGAACAAGGCCCACGGAATCGCCAGAACACGGTTTAGGTCGACCCCCGCCGCGTGGAGGCGAGGGTGCTCGAGCGTGAGCTCGCGCGGGCAGCCTGCGAGCGAATGTCCGCGCGGCCGATCCCGTTCTCTCTGTCAGTCGCTCACCCAGGAGGGTGGCCAGCACCACACGCTCGAGGCCCACAGACGGCTTTGAGCTCGAGGATCGAGGCCTCGGGATCAGGGATCGAGGATCGAGGCGTCCCGAGGGCAACTGATCTGATGGGCCTGTTTTCCACCACCACCACCATAAGTTGAAGAGGGAGGGGGTCCTCCTCCTCCACCTCCTCCATCTCCTCCTCCTCCTCCTCATCCTGCTCCTCCTCCTCCTCCTCCTCCTCCTCCTCCTCCTCCTCCTCCTCCTCCTCCTCCTCCTCCTCCTCCTCTCCCCTCCAACTTATGGTGGTGGTGGTGGAAAACAGGCCCATCAGCAACTGTCTGCGCGCTTCGATCTCCGCGAAGCGCCATTATTGTCGCGCCTTCGTGCCGCTCCCCCCCCCCGTAACAGGAGTAGGGGCTCGCGCCTCGCTCTGAAAGCGCCCAGGCCGCGAAGCGCGAAGCGCGACGAACTTCGCACCCGCGGAGTGGCCCTAGGCTTCCGGGCTCGTGCGGGCCCTCTCCGGGGCCTCCCGGGGCCTCCAGAGGGAAAAAGCCTCCGCGGACCCTCCTGGGACCTCCGGGGGCCCCCGGGGAGGCCTCCAGGGGCCCCCGAAAGCCTGGGTACGCTTTGGGCCACGGGGCCAGCAAAGGCCACCGCGGGATGGAAAAGAGTGCCCCAGGGGGAGAGGTCGAGAGCTCCTGTCGACACAGGTCCACACGAGCACCTTCGCCAAAGGCCAAGGGCCCCATGGTAATACGAAACATGAAGCACATCAGGGGCCCAGCGGCGACGAACATCAGGGCACCCCTCCTAAACCTAGGCTGTTCTTCGCCCTCGTGCCAGCTGTACACAGTGCAATGGGAAACCTCATGCGCCTCGTGCTGACGGTCTCCCTCGGCCAGTCCCGTGGCCGCACGGTCCGCTGCCCAGTGCTGCGCGACAGGGAGGTCTGTCTAGGCCTCCTCTGGGCACTCATGGACGTCGCCGTTGAGCTGGACCTGTTCGACCTCCTCCGGAAGCCACCCTGGCCCATCAGGACCCTCACGGCTTTCTTCATGCACTGTGGCCTCGAGCTCCTCACCCTGTTCGTCGCAGGGGTCATGAAGCACGGGGCCCGTCGCGGTGCGTGGCCTGCTGGCGCTGGGCAGGCGCACCACACGTCGAGCCATCCTCCTCGCAAGCTCCTTCATGGTGCCGCCCGGCACGGAGCATGCGGACGTGCGGAGCGCGGCCGTCGGATTTCCTGGCTCGCTGGTGAGCCGCTCACCGCCTTGGCCGTGGCGCGCCCGGGCATGATCGCGTCGGGCGTGAGCGTGTGCATGGCCTTCTGGCAGCACGTGGGCGTGAGGGTCGTGCTTGGGAAGGCTTCGGGTTGCGCACGGGCGGCGCCAGGGTGCTGCGACCACCCCTAGGGGGGCCTTTTTGAGGCCACCTAGGACTACCTTACGTAGGAGGGATGCAACTGAGGGGAGGTCTTCGTCAGAACGATTAGGGGCTATTCAGCTTGATTAAGTCGCCATTGAGCTGGACTAAGCTGGATTAGGCCTGGGTTGGTACCAACTTGTGCGGGATAGCGCCGGAAAAAGCAGGATCAAGCCAGAGTAAGCCGGATTACACCAGATTAGGCCAGTCTGTGACCAGGGATCTACCAGCGCCGATGCTGAATTCAACCTCCCAGGAAAGGCATCCTAAACTACATGGGGGGGCTGTCTGTGCGCAACCCGGAGCCTTACCACCTTACCGGTCGTGCTGCATGTGGTCGTCACTCAGCTTACGTCAGGTTTGTGTCGCTCTGACTTCGGCGCTGGTTTCCGACACCGCGGCCGTTTGCGAAACATCCGATCTTTCAACATCGACCGATTCTGGGTCGCCAACGGCTTTCCACGTTGAGCGCAGGCGGCGGGGTCGCCGCCGGTCGACACGACGCGAGCCTACCGCAGCGACTCGACGCCGCAGCTTGCGCGGGCCGCCAGAGGGGCACTCCGCGTGGAGAGGAGGGCGCTCACGCGCGGCCTCTCGCGGGAAGCTGACGCGGGAAAACCCGCGCAGTCGACCCCGTTCTCGTCCGTCGCTCCGTTCGATGCTCCCACACCCTCCCTTGAGAGCCAAGGATAGTGAGCATCGTTTAATCGACCCCTATCCCCATGGGTGTGGCCTGGGCCCCACTGGTAGGTTGTTTCCTCCCTGTTTCGAGGGGTATTTCCCCAACTGGGGTGCTAAGATGGTGGGGGTCTGGATAGGGATCGGGGTGGGGACAGGGGTCGGTTCAGCGATACTGACCCCGTAGGGAGCTCCCCCGAAGGCCCAACTGGCTGCACTCGCATGCGGTTCCCCCACCCAGTACAGCGCTTCGTGGCCCCATAGGGAGCTCCACCGAAGGCCCCAGAGGCTGCACTCACATGCAGTTCCCCCACCCAGTACAGCGCTTCGTGGCCCCATAGGGAGCTCCACCGAAGGCACCAGTGGCTGCACTCGCATGCGTCTCCCCCGCCCAGTACATCGCCTCGTGGCCCATAGGGGGCTACACCGAAGGCACCAGTGGCAAAGTTTACATACGTCTCCCAAACCAGTACATCGCCTCGTGGCCCATAGGGGGCTCCACCGAAGTGGCAAAGTTTGCATACGTCTCCCCAACCAGTACAGCGTTTCGTGGCCCATAGGGGGCTCCACTGAAGACGATACCCACAACTGCGGCACTCAAAACTGCATACGATTGGGTCCTTCGCCAGGCTAATTTTCTCTCCTGATTCTCGTCCGTCGCGCTGGTCAGTAGCGGGTCCCGGAAAGCCTAAACCTAAAAACAACAAAAACATATCTTCACCAAGGGGGGGGGCTGATCTTGCGCCCGCTGCAATCCGCTGAGCTTCCGCCTGCGAAGCCGCCCACATGGTACTTCCTCCAGCTTCCGCCGCCCTGTCGCCGCCATCCGCCGAGGAAGAGATGGCAACTCCTTCGACTACTCGAAGGCGAGGCCCTTGCTGAAGTCATCATCCCCATTACCGCCATCATCATCATCATCATCACCATCATCATCAGCCGCAGCATCATCATCACCAGCAGCATCATCTTCATAAGATTCATCATCTTCTTCTCCACCATCATCATCATCAGAAGCCATGAGCATCATCAACACCATCAGCATCATCAGCAGCAGTTCATTAGCATCATCATGGTCATCATCATCAGCATCGTCCTTATCATCATCAGCAGCATCATCATTACCATAATCATCATCATCATCATCATCATCAGCAGCATCATCATCCGCATCACCATCATCCGCAGCATCATCATCACCATCATCATCATCACCATCATCATCCTGAGAATCAGCAGCAGCATCATCAGCAGCAACAGCATCATTAGCAGCATCAACATCTACATCAGCATTGGCATCATCATCCTAAGCATCATAAGCATCATCCGCATCAACATCATCATCATAATCACCCGCAGTAGCATCATAATCATCGCCCTTCTCCTTCGTCTCCTCATCCCCTTCCTCCTCCTACCCGTCATCATAATCAGAATCAGCAGCATCATCGCCATCACCATCACCATCGTCATCGTCATCAGCATCATAATCCGTATCATCAACATCATCATGATGATCATCATCGGCATCATCATAATCGTCAGCATCATCATCATCATCATCATCATCATCATCCTCATCATCATCATCATCATCATCATCATCATCATCATCATCATCATCATCGTCCTCCTCCTCCTCCTCCTCCTCCTGCTCCTCCTCCTCCTCGTTAACATCATCCGCCACCGTACCGCTGGGCACGGAGTGGGCGTGTCCCCAGGTTCTCTCACTACCCTTCTAAGCATCACTCCTACACACCTGAGGAGTTCCTGAAGCGTTCGGAGCCCATCGGCCTAAATCTTCTGGGGCTTGTCGCGGCTTGTCTGGGGCGTGGCGCGTCTTCTCACGTGACCGCTT